AACCATCGTGGTCGCCACCCCTTGATCGATGACGGCAGCCCCGCCACCAACCCTTTCCCCACTGCTGCCTGCAGAGTGACCCACGTCTCCTGCTGCCCCGAGGCCTTATAACACGCAAAGAATTCGTCTACTGTCATGGCCTCTCCTCCATTTGCCTTCGGCCACGCACTTGCACAGGCCAGCAGGATCTTCCATGCATTGGGCATTAGTTGGCCCGATACTACCTCCAGACGATTGAGCACATCCACTACCACTTGCGGCAGTGGCAACCTCAGTCCACCCTTCAGAGCTTCCTCGTAAAGGGAAAACCCTCCCGCCCTGGCGTCAGACAACCTTTCCGTTGATGTCGGCAGCAATAACTCCACCTCCATAGGGATCTGGTATTTTTCGCGGATAGCCTCCAACTCCGCCGCAGTAGTCATGGATTTGTCCGCCTTTGTGTGCCAGTGATCAGGTTCTGCCTGGTTAATTGGCTTTGGCGCTGCTATCATGGTGGAACCGTGGGATTGTACAATCGACTCCCCCACCCTTTTCATCCGGTATTGCTGCGCTAACTCCACCGCATCATCATCTCTAAGTGGATCCACTCTGACAATCGCAGTTCCTTCTTGGGCCATTTTCGTGGTATGTCTGCGAATCGCTTCGGGGGCAGGTGCAAGGAAATCAAAAAAGTATTGCAGAGGTGTATCGTGAGCAACAAAGGAATTCACACTTGGAATATTTTGATTTTTCGTAAACAAGTAGGTGAATCGAATAATGCCAAAAGCCCACGGTTTGCCTATATTCCAAGGATCCCAATTAATTTTTGCCAGTTTGAAAACTTTTCAAAATCATCCGCCAAAACTGTCTCTTCAACACCCATAATGACCTAACATTTCGTTTCTGACGTTTCATTTCTGATCCAACGCCTAATCTTCCCCCCCTACGGGATGTGGCCACGTGTACGACCACAATGCACTGTCTACTCCCCTTACCCTGTCTTTTCCACTTCAAATCATCACTTGCCATGCCGCCTCTTGAGCCCCGCGCCAATCCGCTCGGCCCTCGTGCGCGGTCGTCCTTCCTCACGGTCGGCCCTTTAGCTCAGCCTTCGCTCGCGAGCTCATCTCCTCACGGTCAGCCCTTTAGCTCGGCCTTCGCGCGCGGTCGCATCTCCTCCCAGTCGGCCCCCCTCCCGCCCCTCCTCCCGGTCGGCCCCCCGTTCGACCTTCGCACACGATCGCCCCTCCTCACGGTCGGCCCTTCCGCTTGGCCTTCGCGCGATCAGCCCTCTCCACAGTAGGACCATCTTACGCTCGGTCCACTAACTCGGCCCCCCATCCCGGTCGGACTCATCTTCCTCATACATATTCCCTTCGTTGGTTTGAAGCTGCACTCGGGAATGGGGGACTACTGACATGGACAGGCCCACAAAGGCCATGAACCACCATAAACAACCCAAGCCCATCAATCGGAGCCCAATACATAACCCAGCCGATGGAGTCCAGAACAGCTGGAATCCAATATGGCATAAAGAACCAATGGCATTCAGGCACGTGGCGGGTGAAGGATGAGCCACATCAGCAGACAAAGATCTGCAAAGTTATTGCCACTGCACATCACCATTAATGCAGCACGTCACAGCATTTATTACGACAATACCTCCCGTCGGAACAGGGACCCCTTACCCTGAACAAGGTAAGCTACAGCATAGACTTTCGGCGAGGAGGGCAGGTTCGAAGAGACAGCGAAATGATTACCAAAGGATATAAGCAAACGTTGAAGACAAGAAGAAGGTTAAGCTTTCTATCCCTATCCTCTCCCTCTACACACTATTTCTCTTCCTAACTTGCTCGTCGGAGGGTTCACTGGGGGACTATCCCGTTCCTCGTTGAACTTGTTTGCAGGTTATTCGGTGGGCTTGATCATTTGGACATGGGCCTGAGGAGCTTGGACCTGCCCGATCCATTCACTGAAACGAACCGCATCATCAAGTGTCATAGTATTATTTTAATTAGACTAATTTTATATGTACTAATTAGTACATTAACTAATGTATTAATTGATGATCTGACATAATTTAAGATATTTTTGATATTTGTAATTTGTATAATAAGTGAGGTCAATAATAATGTCATAACTAATGTTAATACACTAGTTAGTATATTAATTGATGCATATATCACAACTTTTTTAATTAACCTAATTGATATTAAATTATGTTTATCGTAGATTACATGCCAATAAATTATGTTGAATTATGTTTAAATTTTGAGTTTTGTTGATATACTAAATTTTGTTTAGTGGTTATGTCATAAGTTCGTTTTTTGGAAAAATGAAAAAAAAAAAATCAATAAAAGAAATTTGTGTATAATATTTTTTCCCAATGAACAAAAGTGGTCTGTTTGGTTTGATTTTCAAAATTAATTTTGAAAGATAACTTTTTGAAAAAAGTTACGAAATTTATAATTTTGTTTAGTTGTATATTTTGATTTTTTTTTTTAAAAATCCAGTCTAAATTAAAAAAATTTGCCCAAATTAACACTTTTGAAGCCAATAATGAAGTGCCATCTTGGTTTAAAAAGAGTTTTGAAATATATGTTGCGAAAATCAAATAAGTTATAGGTTTTAAATTTTGAAAAAGTGAATCAAAAACTCAACTGAAGGGGCCCAAACTTTTTTTATTAACCTCCGTTTGGGATGTGTGTAGATTTTTTGATTATTTTAACTTAGGGTTAAAAAGTTTCGTTTGAAATAAATTTTTTGATTTTTTTCACTTTTGTAAAAAAATAAATAAAATGATCATGATTTAGATGTAACATTTTATCTTATTAGAATAAAAAAATTATTTTATTTTTTTATGATTAAAATAGTCCAAACCCAACTCAAACCTTTATCCCAAACATAATGAAGACTTTTGTGGGTTAACTACCAAAATAAATGTATATTAACCTAATCCCTAATTGTAGTGACTGAACTAAGGGAAGAGCAGCTGTAGCGTGCCACCGTTGTAATGATTTTTTTTCTCCAGATGACACATTTTAAGTTCCAGCAATGACATTTTAAGTTACAACAATAATTTAGAGTATTAATTTTAATATTTTAATAAAATACTAATGACATGATAAAGAGAAAATAAATAAATAAATATCAGAATATCACATCATAGTGGGTGAAACCCACTACCAGCTCATTAGAGCTAGCTTTAGAGCTCAAGAATTAAAGCTCCAAAGCATTTTTCTCTAAGTTATAAAAAAAAAAAAAAAAAAAGTCACTATTCTCATCCTACTTTATTCAAAAAATACTCATTTCGTTGTCTTTGTTATACTGTAAAGTGAAACGACAATAGTAACTATATAATAAGGACCCAAAAAAATAGAAAAATGTTTGGGACCCTTTTTTGGGAAGACCCCCACCACCCCCACAGTGATGTAGACCAATGATGTGTTTGTATTGTTCTTTTTTTTTCTTTCTCTTTGTTACTTGGACCAATCACAAGTGAGTGGGGGTTGTGGGGGTAATATTTTGTAGGAGTCTGAATCATTACTGAAAAAAATATACATTTAGAACAAAATGGAGTGTAAATAGTAACTCCCCCAAAAGAAATTCTTAATATACTTTGATATTTCTATAATGGTGTTCATTTACTTTCAAAATTAACAAATCTTAACACTTAAAATTATACTCAACTTTTCATTATTATTACTTTTTTTATCTAAATTAACAAGTTTTCTCTAAGGGGAGATCTTATTAACCGCACAACTAATCACTAACTTTTACCGATCAAAAAATAAAAAAATACACAAATACACAATGTCAACAAAGGATACCACATTCTTATTTACCATATGTAATATTAATTTAAGAGCGAATTACACTAGTAGTCTTTATAATTTGAGACTCATGTTATTTTGGTCTCTGATTTTTCAATTATGACACATTTGATCCTAAATTTTGAATCTTAATCTAAATAAGGACAATTGAAGATAGTTGCTCAATTTTACGGGCAAAATTGTCAATTTGATAAAATATAAACTAATTTAACAAAAATAAATGTCAAAACATATGTTTGAATTTTTAAAAATAATTTCTACCTACCAAAGATAAAATTGTGTAAAATTGATAAATCTTTTAAACATTTTTTTTTTCCCACCAAATTAATTTTTATTATGTGTTTGGATGATGATCATGTAATGAGTGGTTATTAAACTTTTAATGTGTAATCCATATATTTAATATATGAATTTTTTTTAATTTTTAATTTTTTGATTTAATGGATTTGTTTAATAATAATAATGAAGTCAAAATTGTCGCGATATTTGACTTTTGAAAAAATAAAAACTAATTTAATGAAAATAAAAACAACCACCCATTACATAATTATCATCTAAACACATAATAAAAATTAATTTAGTAAAAAAATAAATGTCTAAAAGATTTATCAATTTTACATAATTTTATTTTTAATAGGTAGAAATAACTTTTTAAAATTCAAAAATATTTTTTTGACATTTATTTTTGCCAAATTAATTTATATTTTATCAAATTGACGATTTTACCTTAAAAATTGAGCAATTATATCTTTAATTGTTCTTATTTGAAACAAGAATCAAAATTTAAAATCAAATGTGTTACAATTAAAAAATCAAAAATCAAAATGATATAAAACTCAAATTATAGAGATTGCTAATGTAATTCACCTTTAGTCTAATTATTAATAGTGCATTAAACTTGTATACATGATATTACATTACAAATATACGTCAGTTATGGAACTTATTGCCAATATCATGTTGACAAAATTTAAAACATGATATAAAAAATGTGGTAAATCTAACAATATTTTGTTGTTGATAAAACAGTCTTGATTTTCTCTTAAAGGAAGAGTTATTGTAAAACTTCCACCCAAAAAGACAACAAAAAAATCAAAAGTTTAAAAAAAAAAAAGAAAAAAAAATTGTCTTTAGCAAAATAAATAAATAAATCTTATTTGACTCATTCCCCATTTCTAGTCTAAAGGCACTTGAAAGAAAATGACATCGAATAAATAAATAAACCTTACTAACGTAGTTGAAAGCAATTAACTTGGGCCAAGCCATAGTTAGCTGCAACTGCAGCTTGCATTTCGTTCGCAACAATGCTACAAACCCATAAATATTATTCAGAAACATCATTGTGTGGCCAAAATTCATCTAAGCCATGAACCCCACAATACAATAAATCAATCTCAGCCATGCACTAGTGCTCCGAACAGTTTTCATGGCAACTTTTTTTGGGTCCATGGCTTTAGTGTTTCGTTAGCAATGTCTTTCAAAACAAAAGCAGATGGCCCAAGATTAGAACAATTACTTTTCCAACATGGATTCAGTTTGGTGCTGTTAAAAAGCCATCTGTGTTCTGTACTACTAGATAAGATGGAGCATAACTATAAACCTTACATTTTTGGGTGCATATGTTGGTTACCAGAACACACTGAAGCTACCCAGTTCATCTTCCCAAAATCATGATGTGCAGCTTCTTTTTGCCCCAAGTAGATCATCACTTTCACTTTTTACGATACACTGAAAGGATAATGAACAGATCCTATTTACGCCACCGAATTCTTCATCTTAGTTTCAGAAATTATGCCCTCATCAAGTTGGCAATAGCCTCCCACTCTAAACTACATATCACATCCTGCTATGGCAACAATTGAAATCATCAGTCATTTTTGGCAATTCCACAGATATATGACATAGCAAAGTAATTTATCCCCAAGATCAAAATGTTGTACATCTCTGAGATAAAACTGAGTATAGGAGAAAGAGAGAAGAAAAAACACATCACCGAGGGGTTCTGTTGGTCAATGTCAAAGCTGTTGATTGCACATGGTTGAGCCAAGAGTTTAATGGGTTCCTCACCTGTGCAAAGGAACAGTATGAAACAAATCAACCACCAGATAAGAGAGGTTACAGATTGTCTGAAGCAAGTATTCCTTTTGTAGAGGAGGCAAAAGGCTTAGATGGGTCAAAACAAATAATACATTTAAAAAACCTGACCATTTAATAAACGGGTTTAAGTGAGTTGGGTTGAATTTGGTACACAGGTATGGAAAATTAATCTGATCAACCCATTAGCCCGACAAATTAACCAGATCAACTCAACAGGTATACAACTCATTTATAACCTGTTTATTTATATATTTTGATGAGAGTTTAAATGGGTGAAAGTGTGCCAGCTCTATCTTTTTGCCACAGAAAACAAGTAATATGAATTCAGCCACTTAGCAAATAAGATGACCTTAAGCCTTTCCACTAGAGCACTCAAATGGAAATAGCCAAAATGGCAACAAACTTCATACCTTGTTCAACAACAGCAAGGATTCCATCTTCTGAGCAGATCATAACAGGTAACACCCGTGATTTTGACATGTTACCAATGTTTGAAGAATAGCTGTCATACTGGACCTCCCAAATTTCACTCTCAGATAATGAGTGGGACTGAAACTCACCTGCTGCAACCCCAGAGAGAACTATTGGCTGCTGTTGCCACCGAAGATCCCATGCAAATACAGTACCAGAAGAGCCTCCTGCCTTCATCTAAAGCAGCATAATAAATAAACAATCTCGAAAATTTTCTCAAGTCAGAGCACAGAAAGACAACTTACTCAATTTCCAAATAACCATGCAATCCAATAATTAAACGTGGAAGAATTTCAATGTGATCACAAAATCCTTTGAATCATCACCCAACATGAAATTTAAGCATGTAAACCAATATATTATCATGATCAGTCAAAATATTCAGCTTGTATAAAATTCATGTAGAATGATTTTGTTCAGATGCCTACGAAAATAGCCATCTTAAATGATTTTTTTTTTTTTTTTTTTGAACAGTAAAAAAGGGTTCTCCTTGGAGGCATCATCTTAAATGAATGTTAATAAGCATAATTCCTGTCTGGTCTATTTAATATTAATAGGGGGAAAAAAAAAAGAAAAAAAAGAAAAAAGAAGCAATAGCTGAGAAATCAAAATTCATAGACTTTGACAAGCTAAGGTCAAGAAAGTGAATCATTCTAAACCCTTGGACAAAGAAATATATGCCATAGAAACAATTTCAGTCAGAGTTGGTAGTATTTGCGCCAATACATAAGTCTCAATGATCATCAAGATGAACATCAACCAGCAACTCAACACAACCAGAGCTATCTCGGCTACTTAATCAGCAGACAATTAGAGATCCTAGTTATCTCAAAAAACTTAATCAGTTGACTCAAGGACAGAATATCAGCATGCATCTGCAGCAGCATTACAACAGCAAACTTCGTTATAGTGTGGCAATCAAATAAACCACATACTTATATAGCTGCCCAAACCCCTTATAATACCACAATATGATACATTTTGATAAGATCTGTTTCTAACACAAACAACAGTAGGCTTTAGTTTATATTCCAAATCATCATTAAGAAAAATTGATGTAATTATGTCAAAAATGTAAGACTAATTATATTTTCCTTAAACTTCAGAGAGGTGAGTGTAATTTACCCTATATATATACATGCAAATTTTACTCTGATTTAAAAATATATATATAAATAAAGCAAAAAAAATATATATATAAATAAAAATAAATAAATAAAAAAAAAATATTAGGTGAAGGGGGGAGAGAGAGAGAGAACAATGGGGACAGCTAAAACAAAACCCAGTAGTTTGTACACCCGTCCTACTGCCTCAACATTTACTTTCTGATGTTTTTAATTCTTACTTGGACACTACATTATGCCCATGAGTTAAGCTTAGTGCATCAAATCTACATATTTTTATGAGAGGAATGAAGAATGAAAAAGCAGCATCTTACAATACAAGTGTATTTTCTTGATGGATGAATATCAATGGAGTGTACAATCCCAGAAGTAGTTCCATGAGCCCGGCAACATTATTAATATGGAGAATCCCATCTCATCACAACAAAAACAAATCAAAAAAAAAAAAAAAAAAAAAACTGCTTCTACTCAGATGGACAGAGTTGAACCCAATTATCAAAATATGCAGTTAAGATAGTGCAAACAGAACAAAAATAAACACTAAATTTAGAAGCATAATAGAAACTCATCAAAGAAAATGACTAATACCACTTAAGAACATATTAAGCTTCAAGAAATTCCTACATTGGTATGTTCAAATTATCAACAAATTATGAACTCCTCATGATCCTTGCATGTGAAGCGTATCACCATCCATCTTTTCTCTTTTGTTTATTTTCCCAAAATCAGAACTTTATTTGATAAGAAGCAATTTTATCAAAACATATAGGAAATAGGTCCCCTTAACACATTAGAGCACAAAAAAACAATGATTTCAGTTCAAATGAATAATATTATGGCTCTCAAAAAAAAAGTCTAAAGTGAAAAAGAAATAAATAAATAAAGAACCTGAGTGGAGAACAAAATAATTCTCATAAAGAGCCGTGTTCAAAAAGGGGGATGAACGAAAATCTCACTAAAATGCTCAAATTAGAGGCTTTAACCTCGTGTACAGGCCTCCAAAACTCTACCAGACATGAAAACGTGATCAATAGGTGACGATTGCTAAATTAGCTGAAACCTCCAAATATATAAAATCACATAACTCTTTGTACTCTCAAATATTACTCGCCAGCAAGTTACACGTAAAGCTCAAGTGATCACCCTTTAAAGCCAACAACATAAGCTCTAAACATTTCCAACCATTATCTAGAACACACCTTTAAACCCACCTTAGATTGATAAAAGTACGTAACTACACACCATTAAGGTGTGTCAAGATGGGATCCAGATCCTCTCCAACACTTTCTTTATACAACCATCATCCGACACTTTATCCAAATACCACAAATGATAATGACTAGCTATTGAATTGTGGCATTTAGATCAAGTGTTGAATGATGGTTGTATAAAGTAAGTGTTGAAACTGGAAAGGATCTTCCCCCAAGATGTATCCAAAATAAAGGTTCATTTTCGTATGGGGCAGGCAACTAATAGGCATGATAAATTTATGACATCTCCAAAATCCAAAGCCAAATTGAAGTAGGACTTGGAAAATTCAGCCTAAATTGCAATTTTCACTAGTAAAAGATAAAAGACAATAGTAGAGCAACCCATGCAATCTGCACAGCACTGTCACTGAAATATATTTCAAATTGACATTCCTTCTTAATTTTTAATTTAATATTTATCTCTACTTTTCAAAAAATGGGAAGATTTCCCCCACCCTATCTCATGTTTTGACTCCTCTGCCTTCTTAATTTTATGCTATTTTTTACCCATTTAGTTGTACTTAGAAATAGGAGAAAAAGAATTAAAAACACAACAGAGATTGCTCCATACAAGGATTGTAGGCCTTATACTAAAATTTTCATGAATGGAAAATTGAAAACTAGCTGCCTAGTAATACCCAGACTAATCAATGGGAACCATGCAATCGCAGGGAATCACAGGCAGTAAAGAGCCCCAACATAAATAATCATCCGTCTCTTTTTAAATCTTTCCAAAAGGGAACAGGGATTAGGGATCTTGTCTCTCTTCTTTCATTTGTTTGGGACATGGAAGGCTAAATTTTTTTAAAAAACTTACAATACAGACGATTGGGAAAGGATACTTTGAAGCATATTTCTAATCCCAACTCCATACTTTGAAGCATTCACTCTACATCATGTACACAAAACACACCCACATACATTAATACATGTATTATTGCAGATAGATTGTACCCTTGTGACATTGGATGAGTCCTTGTTTCAACTAAAATATGGGCGGCAAATAAACATGATCAAGTCCAGACCTTGCCCATATGATTGACATGTATAATAACATTTGCCACATCTGAATCCAATTAGAATCCATATTTTAGACAGAAGTTTCATCAAGAAGTTCCATGAGATCATTTTGAAGAGAAAGATTGCATATTTGCATCCCAGGTTAGAAATCAGTTAGTCACTTGCCTACTTGCCACTACTTCTATCTAGATTTTTGGATGAAACTATAATGTTTAAAATGAGTTCTCCCATATAAGGAAAAGCAATAGCAACCCCACAAGGTTCAAATTTTAAACAATAGCATGCCAGACAAAGATTCAAATTTCTATGCAATAATTGTACAAAATGGAAAAAAATAAATTGGTATTTGCTTACCAATTACCCTTGAACTGAGAAGCTGGTCCTCCAGGCTTTCTCTGATCCCACCACTGAAGACTAAACCCCAATCCACCCGTGGCAAACTCCATCGGCGACGCCCACTTCGCCGCTGTATACGACACATTGCTATCGAAAAACCGGCGGTGACTCAAATTCGAATTACCAACACTCACCAAATTCACCCTCCCATCTTCCCCAACACTAACACACTCAGACCCATTTTCCTGCACATCAAAACACGAAATGGGTCCAACGTGCAATGTCTTCTCACGCACCGAAACCTCCGATTCGATCGACGCATCGACCGGATCAGCGAGCAGGACGTCGGAGAAGGTGGATGCGGCGATGAGGGGTTTGTGGAGGGTTTGAGAGACTTTGAGCGAGGAAATTCTTGAGGGTGAGGACCATGAGGATTGGAGAGTTAGATTTGAGGGGTTTGATCGGGTTAGAGAGTGGATTTCGATGGAGGAGGAGTTGGAATTGGAGTCGAATACGGCGAGGACGACGAAGCGATCAAAGGCGGGGAGAGGTGGAAGCCAGCGGAGGGCATTGATGTATTTGGAGAGTGGGAGTCTGTGGACTTGGAGGGTCTCTGGTGTCCCGTTCACCGCCATGGCCAGGGTTTGTAAGAAAGTGAGATGTGGAGTGTTTGGCGTGGATTATTAGTGATTATAATTTATTTTAATTTAAAATTTTGCGTCATATTAGTTGATGTAATTTTTATTTATAATTTTTTAAGTAAAAATAATTTAAATAAATTGAAAAAATAAAATAAAAATTAATTATTTAAAAGGTTGAAAGGATATTTGTCACTTTTACTCTTTAATTATTAACTTTTAATTTATAATAAATTGTACCAAACACTCATACTAGTGTAATGGAAGGTTTTGGCCGATGTTCAAATTTTAATATAAATTTAAGAAAATTTAAAAGACTTGTGAAGTTGATAGTTTTATTTTGTTGATCTGAATGTTTAATTTGTAAAATTTTTATTGTATTTTACTCAAAATAATAAATAAATGGATCAGATAATTATAATATTTTTATTTAAAAAATTAAAGAGCATGCTTTTTTTAAAAACTAGACCATCAATTTTTTTTTTTTTTAGAAATAAATACTATAAAATGTAAAAACTACCTTTATTAGATTGGCAATTTTTTTTTTTTTTTTGTAGATGATATATATAAAAGATTTAACAAAATAAACGATTTGAATTATTAAAACAAATACAACTGCATAAGCCCTTTAAATTCTATCAAGTTCAACTATGAATTTTAAAAAGAGAACTTTTTGATAAATCTCCTTTCTAAGAGTTTTATTCTATTAAACCCATATTCTTTTTGACTATTTCATTAAGTCCTATTTGAGGTAAGAATATCAAAACACCCTCAATCTCTCTTGCCCCATTAATGTTCTCTTTTGGGAAGAGCTAAAAAGGCCAGATTTTAGCTTTTTATTCATTTTGGGTCACATCACCTCTTACATTTTTTACTCACGAAAAGACAAAATAGACTAAAAAAATAAAAAAGTCAATTTTTTACCAACTTCCCAAAACACTTAATGTTGATTGTCATTATGTTTTAATAGTTCCCATGACCATTATTATTCCCCATATCTTCACTCTAAAAAAAATGCATAATTACACACTACTATTTAATGTTGATATATATTATACACAAAAAATTAAATATGGTTCTTTATTGATTGTCATTATATTTTGGTAGTTCCCATATATCCAAATGTTAACTGTACGCGATGACGTGAATGTTTACATTAGATGACATGAATGTAAATGTTCACATCAACATTGCATTAAATTACACAACCACAAGCCTCAACTTTCATTTGAATATAAACATGACTGTATGTGATAACGTGAATGTTCACATTAGATGATGTGAATGTGAATGTGAATGTTCACATTAGATGATGTGAATGTGAATGATGTTAAGGTTCACATCAGATGAGAGAGAATGTTCATATTAGATGAGAGAGAATGTTCACATTATTTTTAATGGATTGTTAATTAAAAATATATTCACATCAAATGAAAGAGAATATTCACATTTTTCTTAATGTGTTTTCAATTAAAAATATATTAACATTATAAAATAATATAAAATAATAACATCAATGTTATTTAATTTGTATATGAAATTTCTTATACCTTGGTCATTTCCCTTCTCTCTTCTCCCCCAACATTAAATATCAATATTAAACGCCAATATTAAATATAAAGGTATAAGAGTCAAAGAAAAATAGTGTAAATCAAGAAAAATGATTTTATATAATAAAAGTATAAATACATAGGACTAAGTGAGTTAAAAAATTCCTTCATGGACTTCTTAAGTTGGAACACTTCTAAATGGGTATGTTTGTTTGGACGGACTGGATAAGGGGGGATTGTAATCCACCGGATTGTTAGTCTTAGGTAGGAATGGCAACGGACCAGGGTGAAGCCGAGGATTATACTCCCCATCTCCGATCCCCGAAGGTAAAAAAATTCCCGTCCCCGCCGCCGATTCTCAGCAGGGATGCCACCACACCCCCAACCCCGCCCCCTAACGGGGATCGGGTTTCCCTGACCCCGAAAAAACCCTGACATTTTATTTTATTTTTTAAATTTTGTTTAACACAAGAACAAAAAAATAAAAAAATATTTTTTTTTCAGTATGTTTCAATTTATCATCAACAATCATTAAAAAAAAAAAAAACTGAGAAAGGAAAAAAATTTGAAAAAATCACTAACAACATTCATCAACAACAGATCTGAAAAAATCATTAACAAACAACAGTTATCATTCTCTCTCTAAAACTCTATTTTGATTTGGATCTAAATCTCACAGCCAGTGATAGCGGAGATGATGAAGGAGACCATGGAGGATCCGCTACGGAGGAGGCCATGGAGGATCGGTGACGGAGGAGGCCAATGGCCATGGAGGATCAGCGAGAGAGAAGAAGAGAGAGTTGAGAAAGAGAACGAGAGAGTTGAAATAGTGAGAGAGTTGAGAAAGTAGAGAGTCAAAAAGTGAGAGATATATAATATTAACGCTAAACACAAACACACATACACACACACACACACACACATATATATATATATATATAAAGGCGGGATGTTTTCGGGGAAATTTAGGGGTGGGGGCGGGCCGGGGCCGGGATCGGGAGACCCTATCACCATCCCCGGCTCGAAAACCATCGGGGATATATTTTTCAATACCAGCCTCGGCCCTATGGGGAATAATTTTCTGAAAAATCCCTATTTATCGGGATGGGGTGGTCCGGGTCCCCGTCGGTCCAGGTTCATATTGGGATCCCTAGTCTTGGGATGCATTGTCCCTGGACTATTTAATTAGACTGGATTTGTATCCTATATTTGTTTAGTCATGGGATTAGATGTCTAGATTAGACTATTATATTGAATCCTATGTTTGTTTAGGATACTATGGATAATGATAAATGCTCAAAAAACTATTTTGCCCTTTTAAATTATTTACTAAATAATAGAAAAATTAAATCTAAATTATAAATTTTATTTAATTTTTTACTAGAGCTTTTAAAAAATTAAATAAATAGAATATTAATAAAAATTACATAAATCTATTTTAATTTGTAGTTGAGATTTTTAAATTTTATTTTACTTTACTAAGTATAACTAATACCATATGATTATTAAAATAAATAATTTAATAAAATAAATTTATTAAGTATAAATAATTTAATAAATAAATTTTATTTTTGAAAAGATATTAAATAGTAGAAGGTCAAAAATGTAATTTCACTACCTAATTCCATGGGATGAGTTATCCTATGGATTGTGTCCCACCCCTCTCATGGGATAGAACAATCTCATAGATTTGAGATTCATAGTCCGATGTAAAAATTTTGAATCAAACAACGAACAATTAGTTTGGATGGACTATTAGTTCTATCACGTACTTGAATCTTTCCAAACAAACACCACCAATGGGATTTATCAATAAAAATCCCTTATAAAAAACAATTATACTACATCCATTGAAATTATGCCGACCCAAAATACGTGAATAAGGTGGAAAGTCTTACTTCAGTATTTGTCCCATTTGCCTAAAAAATGTACGAGTTTCATGCGCTAAAAAAAGAAGAGCCACTAAATCATATCTAATCCATGAATATTTTCTCTTCTCTTTTTTCCCTGAAACTGTAAACAAAGATCTCTCTCTCTCTCTCTCTCTCTCTCCCTCTTTCTCTCTCTCTCTTCTCAAATAGTAAACAACACTCTCTCTCACCGGCGCTTTCTCTCTCATTGACGCCCATTGTCAATCACTACCAAATCACTCACTCACTCTCTCTCTCTCTCACACACACACACACACACACACACACACACACACACACAACACTTGCCTAACAAATACTGTTGGATTTGTTTTTCTAGTGTGACCCAATAGCCTACATATCTTTTACATGTTTTATTTTATTTGGACTCCACAACTAGATAAAGTCAATATTTTAGATAAAGTTCAGTAATTAGAATTTTAAATATGGGATAATTATTCTTCTAAGATAAGAAGGAAACCTTGATGGACAAGAATTCTTCTAATAGAGTTTATCTGGCCATCTTCTCTTCTCTATATAAGGATGAGTGACTCCCCTTACATAATATGAGTATTTTTTTTATCACTATAAGTTCTATAGTCATCCTAATTAAGAGAGACAGAGAGAAGAAGGTGAGCTAAGAATTTAAGGTTCAACTATTAAGGGTATTTTCTCAACTTTTCTAATTCAATAGCTGACAAATGTATGTTTGTTTTATTCTTGAGTTGTATTGAATTCAAGATCCTACAAAGTTTAGTTCCATGTATTATTATTATGGTTACATGCATGTTAATATTTACATGTGGTATAAGAGCCTTAGTTTTGTGAATCAATACACATTGGAATAATAATATATTATGAATATTGTTATTATATTATAATTATAATTATTCATGATACTAAGTGTAGTCCCTTGCTTTTTTTTGATGTGTCCTCTGAAGCATAACTGTCTGAAGCCAATTCACCTAGTAAGGTTAAAGAGGTGAGTAGGGCTATCGGCTCCAATAATGAGAGACCGAAATTGCATGATAAACGTGTAATATGCATGCTTCGTTTTATTATTAATTTTAGCAATAATAATTTTTATAACTATTATAATATGACACTAAATTGAGTGTAATATTTATATTGCCTGCCGTTATGACAAAGCGCATAGATTAAAAGCAATTTTAGAATTTTGTTGAATCGTTCGGTCTATTAAATAAATATATTTATTTGACTGTATTATGTTAAGAGCATTATGTTTTTACCTTATCTGATTATGTACACTTATTGTCTATTATTGTTGATATTTATATATTTTCATGAATTAAAATTGGATATCATGATATAATTAATTCATATTAGGTGTAATTCTTATTGACCATTATATGAGATATTCATGATTGTCATATTGCATAATTTGATATATACAGATTCCTGTTTGTCCAGAGTTATTATTATTATTGTATTGATAATTGCAATCACATAAAAGAAATTCTAGAAATCATAAATAGTGATTTCATTAAAATAGTGATCGAATTAATGATAATTAAATAACTCAAACTAATGAATAGAGAATATTGTTCGTTAGTTTCTGA